TGGCCATAAGAATAAATTCTCCTGGAGAAGGAGCTGTATGGGTAGGTAGAGAACTGTTCCCTTTAGTGGTTTTGCTTTTTCCTGCTTATTCCTCTGATGTTCCACAGAGCTCAGGCCCTTTCCCTCTGCTTCTCTCCCCCTCACCCAGAGAGCTCACACTGGCTCCTGACTTCACCTATAATCATCTAACCTACATACTAGTACACCCTCTCTTTCAATTACCAACTTCATTTCTAATGATCTGCCAAACCTATTCCGGGTCTCATTGTCTCCTTTAATTTAATATTCCAAGAACAGTCTTCCCTCCCCAAACCACCTGCTCTGCTAACCTGTCTTCCCAGTGACACCACTCTTCTCCTACTTCAAAAACTTGGAATAATCTTAAATTCATTTCTCATTCCAGATATTTTTCTTTATGAAGGGAAAATAATCCCTTCCTCTTAGAAAGCTTGTTCCTACTAAACACATTCTGCATACTCTGCCATGAATTTTCCTTTTATGTTTCTCTTAGTCGACAACTACCAGGACAAATAAAATTTCTAAATTTGAATCTCTTCATAATCTGTATCCACCTATTTCTTTACCAGTCTCCAATGTTTCCTCTTCATTGTCATTAATTATCATTAATTACCAGCATCTTGCCTTACTCATGCTATTAACAATACCAAAAATGATCTTCCTTCTCCTGTCCACCCTCCTAAGTCCTACCAATCTTTCAAGACCCAGCTTAAGTCTGCATATCTCCATGAAGTCTTTCTGGACAACCCCAGAGTTCACTAAGCCCCTTGCAGTAATATGAATAATCCATTATTTATATTCTACATTGGCATGTTGGTATTGGTTCCATGTGGGTTAGTCCTGTCTTCCAAACTAGATTACAAGTTAGGCACCTGATAAGCAGACCCAATGTGGTTGTTTGATTAGATTTACCCATGTTTAAAATGTATATATAAGAAGAGGCCACTGTTAGTACAGTTCATTCTAATACAGTAACACAAAATGTATATTTCTCATGCCCTACCAACATTAATACTCATGCCTGAACATGAAAGTTACTCAAGGAAAAACCAACTACATCAATCATGTTTGTGTGGTACACTATCTGGACATGAGGCATGAAGACTATCTGGTTCTTCCATAATCAAATTTCAAGTTTATGCCAGAGCACAGGATGTATTTTGTCATTTCAAATTTTCAATTCACAATCTAAATGATAACTTACAGTAGTCATTTCGAAGACCAGTAAGATGAATCTTCACCTCTGGTGGGATCATGGAATACTTTACATCACTGAACCTTTTAAGATAGAAGGATCCATCTCTGACTCCATCTCTGCAGCCTACAAGACACAAACACTTCTACACATCTCTATAATCCTGAAAATATAATATTAATCCTGTGGGTATTAAGAAATAACATTGATTGACAAAGATTAATTATGTGGGGAAAAAAGTGGTCATCATGATACAACTGTAGTATCAAGAGCAAGAGAAGAAAGGCAATGAAGAACATTCCAGTATTAATTTTAAAAAGAATATTAAAAACTTACTCATGGAACTTTCTAATAAAAAGCACATGAATGCCAGACCTAAATGTAGATGACAGATCTTGTGGGGAGCACACAGAGATACTACATGATGCTTTGAATATTTATTCCCTCATTTGACACTTTTAATACCAAAGTGAATTTTGCATTTCCATATGTCTATCACATCCACATTCACCTGGTATACCTAAGCCCTACTCTGAGTCTTTGTCAATAAATATTTATTGATACATTGATTTTTAGCTATTTCCTTCACTATTTCTGTACCAGAGCACATAGAGTTACTACTTTTGGCTAATTTTACCCATGACTATCTGAGGTCAGAATTATATGTTTTGCTAAGTTTTAAGTTCTCATCAGAAGACCCCACCAAGTTCAAACCACAGGCTGCTGTCTTTTCATCTCCAACCACTTGGTTTGTGATCAAACTGAGAATGATACAATCAATAGAAACCAAGACCACTCAGGTGATTTGTGGTGTCTATGACCAGATGGCTTCTGATAAAAGCATGAGAACTTCATAATGCTGTACCAAGAAAACCAAGAAACCAAATTGTTACTCATAAATTCTTGCCTCAGTGTTAGCTGTGAAAACCTGCAGTTATAGGAAGAACTGCAAGGTTACTAGATATATTCAGG